GCTTACATGATGATGACGATAATGATCATCAACTAAATCGAAAAATGATGATGCTATCTTGATCTTGGAAGTGGACAATAATATAATTAATGGGTCTTGAATGGGTAATAGAACATTAATTGACATTCATCACTATCACATAAAGTGGGATGCACATCTTGTTTGGGATTAAGATGGTCCCCTATTTGTATTCAATATCATATACATACGTCTCGACTATATTGTAAAGTAATTAGTCTAAACTCCAAGGAAATATTTACGTTTCTATATTAAAAAAGGGTCAAATTGTGCAGAAGTAAGCAGAGCTACAAGCTGGCTCTTTGATTATTAATTATTTTTCACTAAACTGTTTGCGTTTCTTTTGATTGGATATTGGTTTAAACGATTCTCCATAATTACCAAACTTTCGTCGTCAATCTTACCTTTACACGAGTGCTCTAGCCACCAAGCTGTTCCTCAATTGGTGCTTTGTCTTTGGGATTAATTACAGCACTTGCAGTAACTACCCTTTGTTGCTGCTTCATGAGCAGAAGAAATCACTTGCGATTTGCTATTTCCTAATTGAAAAATAAAGTTTTCCCCCCATGAAAATCACCTTTTAAATAGGCCAACTTGATAAAAACAAACTTAATTTAAAGTTCATTTCATATATAAACTGGTAGGTAGGTCTAGTTTTCAATCAATTACTTTTTGTCAAATTCTGCTTAATTAATATTCAAAATATCCAAAGTATCCTGCTTAATTATATATGCCTCACACATGTGCCCCAACTGTACGTATGTATAACTAATGAGGTAGTTTAAGTAATTAAGATATTAATTGAGCTGAACTTGATTAAAAAATGGCTGATTAAAACCTAAATTCACTTACAAGATGCTTTATGTTTAAAAAAAACTTTAAAGGGTGTTTTTTTATAGATTCAATCTATTTTAAAGATGGTTTTCATTAAAAAATAAACCGAAATTTTGGCATTATTTTAGACTACCTCTGACTGCAGAATTTTGTATAGGGTAATTATTAATTTGGAACCGTTGATAGTGGTGAAGACCCAATATTTGATGGGCTAGGTCCAACAACTATCGACTGTTTATGCGCTTAGATTTGGTCTCCCAATAGTAATCTATAGGCAACAAGTTG